GCATTTAATCGTATTAGATTAGCATAAGACCCTAATCACCCCACCTCTAGGGTCTAACACCAATACCACTAATAGGATATTCATGATCATTACTCATGAGCACGATATCCCCTCTTTCTAACTCCTCAAAACTGGAGAACCAATCCCTTCTAGGGTAAATATGGTATGAAGCACTCGAATCCAATATCCACTCCGTAGAGTCGGCAATACAAACTGACGGTAGTGCGGGGTACGAGTAGCCTAAAGAATCCGAGTCTGAATTATCACCACTAGCGTTGACAACATTCACCTCTGAAACTTGTATAGCTTTCCTCTTATTCTTCCCGGCTCGATCTTTTAACTTTGGACATTCAGACTTCCAACGTCCATCTTCTTACAAAAGGCATATTGATTCCTACCAACTGAAGGATGTGCTCCTCTAGACTACGACCTCCTACTTTGGTTTGTACTCTTTCCTCTTACGACCAATGCCCCCGCTACTGTATCAATTGAAGTCTCCTTATCTTTCTTCCTAAGCTGATAATTCACAAGAGTAGCGGTGACTTCACTATACGAAAGAGATGTCTTTCCATTAATTAGGGTAAGAACATAGGTATCATATTCCTCGTCTGGTAAGGAGCTCAACAACAACAATGTCTTGTGCTCATCCTCGATCATAAAATCCACATTCGTCAAATCCGTAAGAAGCTTCGTGTAGTTGTTCATGTGATCACTAATCGAGATTTCCTTCTTCAACTAGAAGCGGTAAAGCCTCCTCTTCAAATGTAAGCAATTCTCCACACTCTTTGTCAAATACTTTCTCTCAAGAATCTTCTAAATCTTCTTTGCTGAAGTCTCATTGATCACATCATACTTTAGATCTTGAGTTAAACAAGACCTAATCACATCGCACGTCGTTCTATTTATCTTCTTCCAAACCTTTTCTTCAATGTCGTCCGGTTTCCAACCAACTCCAAAGTATCTTCCAAATTTTACGCGTGCAGCGTATCCAAACTTCACATCTCCATTTTCTAAAGTTGTTCGTGCCATTAAAATTTTATCATATCTATCTTCATAGAGTGGATATTCAAACTTTGAACGGTCTTCACGCCAGAAGAACCACCCTCAACACCTCCTTTCTCAGTCATCTTCCTCAAAACACCAACAAACCAATATGGAACAAACTGAAAGATAGATCCAAACTGTAAGAAAGGTAGATTTTTACCTCCAACTGAAATCCTAATAAGAGCCTCCAAAAGATGTCACCCCCCACACGACAGAAGACAAGATCCATAATAATAAAAATCCCACTTTTGCCTCCAACTAAAGCTCTAGACGAGCTTCCAAAGCGGTCTACTCCTCCACCTAATCCCAAGCGTAGTCTGGTGCTCTGATACCACTTGTTGGGTCCAAGAAAATCCACGCAAACGCCGGGAGAAAGACACACAAGATTAAAATAATATCACAAACACAAACAAATGAATTTTACGTGGTTCGACGAGTTGCCTACGTCCACAGGGCAAGAAGGGGATAGATTTTCACTAATAGAGAAGAGAGTACAAATAAAGATTACAAAATCTCTCAAACAAATCTCTCTAATCTCCCAAACAAAACCCTAAACCAATAGCTCAGAAAAACTCACTTTTCTATGCTCAAAACAACCCTTTCTACTGCTCCACAGAAACCCTAAAACATGTTCATATTTATACCAAACACTAATCCCAAATAGAACAGAAAAACCAAATTTGGGCCTAACCCGGCTGGCGGTCAACTGTAGAAATCGTCGCGGTCGATCGACCAGAGAGATAGAAAAACCCAATATCGATTATAGGGTTTGGAGGTCGACCGCCAAAATCATCGCGGTCGACCGTCACTAAGTCCAGAAAACTCCCTGAGGCTGTGCACATTTCCGGTCGACCGCCCCAAAGCTCACGGTTGACCGGCAAGTACTCGAAGCTCTGCCTGCTCCAAAAATCCTGTTCTTCTTCAATGTTATCGCCGTTTCTACAGATTAAGTGTAATTATATCATTGTTTCTTTATGAAACATCATCCTTGACCTTGCTCGTATTAACAAGAATTCAACACATGATTATTTGTTATTTACTGTTTGTAATTAACATTTCATGAAGCATTACTACATATCTGAGTTCTATTTGAAGTTATTAATTAAAATAAGTTAACTTCTAAAAGTATGATATAATTTCAAAAGATATTGTACCGTGAAGTCCATTTTATTAAAGATTTGTAAATCGGCTAAATTATAACATTGGTGTTTTAAGTAAGTCCTATTATCAATAAAGTATTTTCAAAACCCCGGACATCATTAAGGTATTTTATTTTGATATCTTTTACCAATAAGATGCTTCACCTCACTAGAGGTGAGAATTCCTACTTGAACTGGGTTTTTTTTTTTGGGAAAATTTCTTCCGCTCATGACATCTCAAAGTGATTGAATATACACCCTTCTTTTCCTTCGGCCTCCTCCAATTTTTTTTTTAACTTCATTTACCAAGTAAGATCATCTTTCACCCTCCTTTCTTTCTCATCAACAGAGCCCTCTCATTTTCCTTCAATCTTCTCCAACTTAAAGCCAAACCCTAACTCAAAATTAACAACCTTCATTCAAATTAATATCCAACCCTTCAAGAAAATTGTTTCTCTGTCATCGTAACTCTCTCCTGAAATTACACTCCCCCCCCCCCCTCCCCCCCCCCCACCCCACATTACATCACACACACAAAAAAAAAAATTAATTCTATTGCTATTAAACCCACCTTTAAGTTCTACGAGTGTCGAAGCTACTAGAAAAACCTCAAGATGATCATTCCCTTGTTTTGATTTGGGTTTGAATGTGAATTGAGGATGCTTTCTCTAAAATCGGTCGTGTGACACTTAAGGTTCAGTGGTTCAGGTCGTAGAGGATACATTCCAACGAGAGGAAGTCCCTCCTGATTGGAAAGACGATGATACGACCAAGAGCTATGTTTTTTTTGTTAAAGAATGTGAAAACGGCGAAGGAACTGAGAAAAACATGATGAATAAGCAAAACAGATTCCACCACACCCTGGTGTGATATCTGCCACACCGGTGGTAGAATCTCCCTGTTTGTCATGGGTGTGGTGTCTGCCATACCCTGGTGTGGCAGAATCTGTCCTGTTTACCATGGGTGTGGTGTGTGCCACACCAGGGTGTGGCAGTCTCGTTTTTAGAATCATAATCTATTTGGGATTGTGTTTTGTTATAAATAGAACCATGTTTTTTAGGGTTTCAAAAGGAGAGAATTAGCATTGTTTTGAGCACTTTGAGAGGGAGATATTGTGAGGGAGTTGAGAGCTTTGGTTAGGGTTTTATTTGAGTGATTTTGTGAGTTGTAACACGTTGTATTTCTCCTCCATATAGTGAAATCTCCCCATCCTCTCCCCGTGGACGTAGGCAATTGCCGAACCACGTAAATTCCTGTGTTTGTGTGTGATTTTGATCGTTATTTTGTGAATTGCACTCGTGTTTGGTTTTTGTTTTCTTCTCTCATCGATCACCGACTCGTTTGGTTGTCGAGCACGCTTCCACACGCGCGCAACAATTGGTATCAGAGCACAACAAGGAACGCATCAGATAAGGTAGAATGATTGACGATCTGATGTGATTTTTTATAAGGGCATAGTGACTTTACTGTTAAACTGACTCTAATTAATATCAGTACTACTATGCTATAAATCTATCTCTATTGCTGTAAAATCAACATAAATGAAATTGCTGTGAATAGAGCTCAAAGAAAGTAAAGATTAAACTACTATTATCTGACAGGGTTAACCTTTGGAGCTTGATTGATTGAAAAGCAGTAAATTGCATGAAAATTATGTGAAGGTAAACTGAATTAAAGTAAAGAAATTAACTTACTGGTCTAAATTACAACTTAAAGAAGCGAAACGCAAGGAACAAAACAGCAGCAAAAAGTAAAGGCAACAAGCTAAATACAGTAATATAATGTTTTGATTTTGGTTGTGGGAGCTCGTTCTAATTGAATGTCATCCAATAAGTAATTGTCTCTGATCCCTTGATGACCACTTAGCTTATTTTTCGAAACACAACTGCTCACTAGTATGTTAGCCTTATTTCAGGAACTTCCTTTTACCCACGATCTCTTGTGAGCGGCGGTCTTGAATGGGGTTTACTTCGGATCTTAGCCAGTAGTCAAAATTTTCCTATTCTTACTAGTTTTTATTTTACTTTTGGTCCGCAGCTGTACATAATTTAATAAAATAGGGTGTAAAAGGGATAGATTGAAGGATAAAAAGGAGACTTCATTGACAAGAAAGAATGAGTGTCGTATATATATTGGGTAATGGGGGAAGAAATTTGAATTGGGGGAGGTTGAAGGAGGAGGAGGGTGTAGATTCAATTGCTTTGAGAGGTTAAGGGGTGAAAAACATTTTCCTAACAAATTATTATAGTACGCATATGAATTCTTTCCGAACAAGAAAAAGGATCTCATTAAAAAGGGCTGAAATAAAATACTTAAAGATGCCGTAGTATTTAAAAGTACCTTATAAGTAAGAGTGGTCAAGTAAAAATACCAATTTGGTAACCTAGCCTTTATATTTATAAATCAGTTGGTCCATGAAGTTAAGTCAATTACGAAAACATCCACTCACTTACCGTATACTATAAATAATGACTTGTTATTGATCCTTAACCTTCTTCGGTACTTCACCTCGGAGGCTAGATACTTAGCCAGTAATTACTTCATACAAATGACTTAATCATGAAGGCCTTTTAAATAAAACGTGGGGACTTTGTCTAACCATTTCACTTCAAAATTAAAAATTAAAATAGCTATAAACCGTGTGGGCCAATGAAATTAACCCCAAAATTCCTCTATTTCAGGCCCCACTCGCACACTCAATAATTACTTACGCCGCTAACCAACTCATCAGACTTATTCAGCGTAACCGCGTACCGCAGAGTCCTTGCCTACATAAACGCCACCCCTCTCCTCTCCCTAACTCCAATCATACACACTTAATTTTCTTTGATTAATTACTCTCGATTGAATCACATCAAAATGGCGAACAAGAAATCTCCGGTGGCTGGTCGAGCCTGGCGCCTGCTGCGTCTAGCGCTTCTCTGGGCTCGAAAGGGCGGAGCATTCAGACGCGAGCTGATGCTCGACCTGCGCACTGTCTTCAGGAGCATCCGCGCGCACAATGCACGTGCAGAGCGCATTGGCTACTGCGAGCGGGAGTTCTCGTTCGACGAGACTCCACTCTTCACCTTCAAAATGCACAGGCCCGCATCAAAGCGACTGTCCAAGATCCCCTGCATTACCCCGGCAGTCGACGATTTGGAGAATGATGATGATTGGGTTTACTACAAGAAATATTTCGCTGAGAAGGAAGCAAAAGAAGAAGAATATTTGAGCGTTGAGGAGTCTGAAGAGACGGGGGAATTGGAGGAAGACGAGGAGGGGATCGATTCGAAGGCGGAGGAGTTTATAGCGAGATTTTACGGGGAGATGAAATTTGAGAGGCAGGTATCGCTGTTGGAGTACGATCAGATGCTTTATAGAGGAATAAATTGATGATTGAAGCTGTAATATTGGAAGGAGTTTTGATCCTTTTGCTCGTTTTGTTTTGTTCTGCGGCATTATTGTGAATACTAAGGGTTACTTGGGAGAGATTTTAAGGTTTAACTAAGAGTATGTATTGGGATTATGAGTTGCATGCATGTATGGGCTCCTCTTTGAGGAGTAGTAGGTTATATTTCTTGTACGCATAAAACGATATTGTTTTTTTAAAATGTTTTCGTTGTATTGATCACAAAAGCATGTAGTACAGTTTTGTTATGAAAGAATTATGCTTAGTCCTAGTCTAGAAGAGGGGGAATAAAAAGAAAATTCACTTTAGCTATATTGAAAGGTATTTACTTCCATTTGAACACAGCCTCAATTTTATTCACTATTAACCGAAGATCCCTGCTTGTTTCAAGTTGATACAAATTTCTCACATGAATAGTATATGATGCAGGGATCATCCCAAAAGGGGAAAAAAAGGTTGAGGGTTGTGCAGATAACTCTCCCCTTGAACTATTTTAATTTCAAAAAACACACATGACTGGTTTGATGCCAGCCAAACTCTAATGATACACAACCAACTTCTACGACCCAACGTGCTTTCACATCGTGGAGACTTTCGGGGCCATCTTATTATATGTCCACGGTGTAAGAAGTACAATAATCTAGAAAAGGACTCTACTTAATAAGAGTGAGAACTAATTTCAACTCTCAGTTACCCTGTAAATGAGACCTCAAGGCACAACACAACATGTATTCTCTTACCTCTGGTAAGGGGGGTTATTGGTTGGGACAAATTGGGGCTAAGTGAGAAAATTATTCCAATGGAACAATTTTATCCCTTTGGAATATTTTGAGTGGGGTAAAGTGGGAGAAGTGGGATAATGGGACAATTTGAGCCTTTGATTTGACAATTCATGTGGGATAATTGATGATGTGGCACTTTATTAATAATGGGACAATTTGAGCCTTTGATTTGACAATTCATGTGGGATAATTGATGATGTGGCACTTTATTAACAATTTTATCCCTTTGGAATATTTTGAGTGGGGTAAAGTGGGAGAAGTGGCATAATGGGACAATTTGAGCCTTTGATTTGACAATTCATGTGGGATAATTGATGATGTGGCACTTTATTAAAATTTAATTTCATCTATTAATTACCTCTAAATTAACTTATCCAATTGGTTTAATATATTATTTAGTATATTATTATAATATAAACATTATTTCACTTAAAATTAAAATATAATATGTTGCACTATAATTACTAATTAATATTATTAATTATTATATTACAATATATTATATTATATTAGCATAATCCACTATATAATAATTAATATAATATAATATCAATATATTTAATATAATATTTTAATAATATAATATTTAATATAATACATTATTTTATTTATACAAAAATATAATATGTTATACAATAATTACTAATTAACATTATTAATTTAAATAAATTATATTACATTAAATGTATGCTACCATTATATAATAATTGATATAATATATGAACATTATATTTAATATAATACTTTAATAATATATTATTATTTAATATATTATAATATAGAATTATAGGATATAATGTACTGTATAAAATATTATAATATTTTACTTTATTCAATGTAATATTATATATATTATATATATATATAATATATATATATATATATATATATATATAATATATAATTATATATATATATATAATATATAATATATATATATATATATATATATATAATATAATGAAAAATGGGTATGCTTGGTATCAAGCACAAATTTTAGCTTGGGTAATGATGTGTCACATCCTCATCCACTCACTACCTATGTGAATGTCATCCCATATTTGAATGAGTGGAGGAGGTTGTGACACACACTACCAAGCATAACTTTTTGTGCTTGGTACCAAGCATACTCATATTGCTCATATATATATATATATTATATATATATATATATATATATATATATATATATATATAATATATATTATATATATATATATATATATATATATATGTATATATATATATTTACATGATAATTACACTAACATATATTAAAAGGGTAATCATGTTATAATTTTACATTATTTCAAACTAGTATTATATTATATTATATCATAATATTTTATTAATATTAGTAATTTATTATATTATAATAGTATTTCATAAATATAATAAATGATATAATATATAAACAATGTATTTAATATAATATCTAATTTAATATATTAGAACAGAGTCATAGGTTAAAATTTACCGCATAAAATATTATAGGGAAAAATGATTCCAGCCCCCAAAATGAGCCAGAACGTGCGTTCCACCCCCAAGACTTTTTCAACAGGTGCTCTGCCCTCAAAAACTTGCTCGATTTTTCTCTAGCCCGCAAAACACCCCACGTGACATGCTGTCTAAAACCAACATAAATCTTCCCAAAATGCCCCAAAGAGAGCTGCCATCTTTGATTGATAATGGGCTATCTTGCTTAGGGTTGATGAGAAGAAGTGGGGAGAGGAGAAGAGAGAGTTGGGTTATTCGCCGCCCTCCCCTTCCTCCGCGGAGACGTCTCCTCCGTCGAACCCTACCTCCCATCCCTCCTCTCCTCCCTCTCCTACGCTGGCGTCGGCGAGTGCTGACACAAGCACGACACCTTTCTCACCACCTCGCCGGCGTCCACCGCATCTCACCTCTGGCACTCCCCCCCCCCCCCCCTCGTCTCCCTTGCGGCCTCTTCCACTCCGCCTACTCCAACTCCTACCAACCTTGCCATATTTGACCCCCACACCTCCGCGATCGTGTTCGGGAACTCTTTCCCCCCTCCCCGTCGAATGCCTTGTCAACCGGTTCTGTGTCGTCGACCGCAGTCTTTCATCCACGCCGGCCTAACCTTTCCACTACTCTGACGACGAGCTTGCCGACCATCTAGATGTGTCCTAGAACTCTCCCCTAGCCGACGGCCTTGTATCCCATCATATGAACGATGGCGAGACGTGGAGGCGGAAGATCAGCTCCCTCCTACTCCCGGAAGGCGTGATGTTGAAGCACATCAGGATCGGCGAGGGCGTGCGTGTGCTGAGGAGAAGAGAGAGCTAGGTTTAGCTCTCCTTCTTCTTGCTTATCTCATTTGAGAAAATTAATATATTCATTTGAGTGATTTTGAGGTGGAGGTTGCTTCCTGTGTGCTTGAGCTTGCCTCTGTTTGAGAGAAGCAACCGACCACTGAGTTGCTTCCTGTGTGTTTGGTAATAATATTCACTTTTAATTTTTGGGGAAATTGTAATAATTATTTTACTTTTAATAAGATTTTTAAAAGCTATGGGATTTACGCGTTGGTTGTGAAGGTTACGTGTTGCTTGTTAAGGTTACGCGTTGGTTGTGAAGGTTACGGGTTGGTTGTTAAGGATAAGCGTTGGTTGTGAAGTTAACCTTCACAATCAACATTGGTTGTGAAGTTAATCTTCACAATCAATCCATAACCTTAACAACCAACCCGTAAACCTTTACAACAAACGCGTAACCTTAACAATCAACGTGTAACCTTAACAAGCAACCCGTAACGATTTATTGTTAAGATTATGGTTTATTGTTAAGGTTACGCATTTACAACCAACTCGTAATGGTTTATTGTTAAGATTACGGTTTACAACAAAGCTCATATATTGTTAATAAGTATTCAATGAAACATCTGCAAATATAGAAACAAAATGCCTCCAAATTTTTAATGTAAAAATTATAGGGCCAACATATTCCTAATTTAGAAAAAACTATTCATAGTAATTTTATTTTAAGTCAACAAGAGCCACTGACAATTGCTATGTATTAGAAATATTATTGGTCTATTTAAACTAAGCGTATTTACTTATGAATCATAAACTAGGACACTTGATAAGTGAGATTTGGCCAAAAATTTAACCAGGAGCTTTCTATTCTTGGTACAGGAGCTTGCAAATCCACTAGCTAATATATATAATTCAATGTCTTAAGGTAATGAAGTTGGTTGTTAAGGTTATGCGTAACCTTAACAATAAACCGTAATCTTAACAATAAACTGTTATGGGTTGGTTGTAAACGCGTAAGCTTAACAATAAACCGTAATCTTAATAATAAACCGTTACGGTTTGCTTGCTAAGATTACGCGTTGGTTATTAAGGTTACGCATTAGTTGTGAATGTTTACGGGTTGGTTGTTAAGCTTATGGGTTGATTGTGAATGTTAACTTCACAACAAACGCGTAACCTTCATAACCAACGGGTAATATTAACAACCAACCCCTAACCTTCACAACCAACGTGTAACCTTAACAACCAACTCGTAACCTTAACAAATAACTCGTAACCTTAACAAGCAACACATAACCTTAACAACCAACTCGTAACCTTAACAAGCAATTCGTAACATTAACAAGCAACGCGTAAATCCCTTATCTTTTGAAAATCTCATTAAAAGTGAAATATTATTACAATTTCACAAAAAATTAAAAGTGAAATATTATTACAAAATCCAGCTCACTCCCACCACCTAAAACAAAATTCAAGTTTTGAAAATCTAATTAAAAGTGAAATATTATTACAAAATCCAGCTACTTCTCAACAGATCTCAAGGAAGTTCCGGTAGCAATCATCCTGAAGCTTACCATTGCATCGTTCTCATCATAAGTTACAGTAAATCCAAGCTTCTCAACAAATCCAGTGATCTTGTTGCTGACGTGGCACTAGCAAAGACGGGCCAGCCTGACATTGGCGGAGGGTTTGTGAAACATTAATAGGCTCCTTTGAAAGCAAAGTTAAAGTTTGGGCCCTCTTTCTCTCTCTAGTTGCATTCGTGATGTTAGTGATGTTGGGGCCTGAGAAAGCGACTTTCTTCCCACCTGCCTATGCGCAATGGCCAGTTGAGATGTTCCGCTCCGCCTCCCGCCGTCGACCCTCTGACTCCCTCCCGTCTACTCGCCCATCTTCCCCTCCTCCTAACCCTAACCACAAATCCCCTCTCCTCCTCAGACGCCATCCAAAACCCTAGCCCTAGACACCGACGCTAAGCTCGCCCTCTACATCGCCTTGGCCCACGCCTGCCTCGCCCTCTCCCTCCTCCTCCTCTACGGCCTATACTGCCTCCTCCACTTCTATCCTCCCGA